TCCCAACAGAAATTGCTCCAATAAAAGATACCACCTCACCCCACCTTGTCTCTATAAATTGCAGATGCAAATAATAGTGCCCACAAAAATGGATTGAAAATTTGGCCCTTAATGCTTACACAGATGGGTTTTATGTACAGGCTTTATACAACAAAAAATTTTAGCATTGTCGAGTCTTTTTGAAGCTCATAATCTTCAAAATGTCTTAGCTTGATCTGAGAAAGTTCAGTGGCCTAATTAGTATTACACTTATGGAACTCAATAGGGGTGAAATCAGTCAGAACTTTAATAAGGGTACGTAGAAATTATTCTGAAACTTTAGCTTCAGTTCAATAGGTTATCTTAGCTTTAGGGATTTTTTGGGATCACCATATAGCAGAGGTAACATTTTGAGTTCAATCCAGGGCTCCAGGACTCTTTCCAAATGAGAGTCAGTTTTCTAAGGACCAGGGACCAATGAGTGGCATGGCTGATACCAGCTCTATTAGCATTTGATCCTGTCAGCTGCTGAAGGAAGTGCAGCAAGCCAAAGTGCAAGGGTGTGCTCAGCCTTTGTGCACAGAGGTCATCACATTGTGCGAAGAAATATGCACAGTGCTCAGCATTACTGCCTGAACTGTGAGCCCTGCTGTGTAGGGAGAAGTGTATATGTGATAGGACAGGGCTGAGCATAGGGGCTTAAGTGCTTCTGAAGAAATGTAAATGATTTGGTTAAGAGCCATTTTTAGGAGTGTCCATTAATCCTGCTGCCAGTCAGATGCAGTATCTTATTCAACTAACCTTCAGTTACCGGATACCAAGGTGATGAGTGTAATGCAGATAGATGAGCTGTGTGAAGGAGAAATTAATAACTGAGGCAGCCCTGGGGTCCAGACATAGAAATGCTTCTGAAGGTTCCCAAGGACGGCAGAGCCTGCCCAAAAGTGTGGGGTGGGGGCAGGGCCCAAGCGCCCCATCTCTTCCGCCCAAGGCCCCACCCATGGCCAAGCTGCAAGTTGGAGCGGCCGAGAGCCATGGACCCTCCACCTGCCTGGGGATGGGGGTCGAGAGCAGCCCCGGGCCTGTGTCTCCGCCCTGCAGGCCCCCCACCCAAGGCAGGAGGGTCCGCAGCTCCCCACATCTGCCCGCATACGGCTTTTATCTGGATCCAGCTCTGGCTGGTGGGCCGCAACCTGGCCAGGGTAAGAGCCGCATGGGCAGCTGTGCCGTGGACCCTCCACCTGCCTGGGATGAGGAGGTCGAAAGCAGCCCCTGGCCTGTGCCCCCCCTGCCCTGGGCAGGTGAGAGTTCCACAGCACAGCTCCCCATTGCTGCCTGCACGGCTCTTACCATGGATGGGCTGCGGCCACCCCAGCCAGAGCCAGGACCAGGTAAGACCCAGGGGCAGCTGTGGAGAGCTGCGGACTCTCCTGCTCTGGGTGGGGGGAGGAGGCGCTCAGGGGGAAGAGGAGGGGTGGAGCACCTGCCAAACTAGGCCCGTCCACTTTCAAAAAGTGGGAGGGCTATGGCCTCCTGGGCCCCCCTATTCCGGCGCCCGTGAAGGTTCCCATGGAACATTACTCTCCCAGCCAGCTGCTTCATTCCTCATGACACATGCGGCGTACAATGTCGCTTTTAACCACTCTCTGTTCACCTCAGCTGACCTCACTTGTTGGGTCATGAGTGACAGAACCACCTTATTGGCAACTCCTTGTTTGGCACTCTTACAAGACTGAGCCCTGGATTTGTAGCAGTGCAACATTTATACACTCATGTTTTCCCCCTCAAAATAATCTTATTGCTACTGCAGTGTGTGGCATGGAACCGGTCAGCTAAATACAGAACTGTGGGGATTTTTTTTGGCTTAGATTCTGGTCTCAAGAAAGCCATGTTGCTGGTAAACATGAATCACTTGGCAGCACAGTGCTGGTGTCCTTAGAAGGGCAGTAAGGTGAAGCAGATCCATCACAAAGAAATGACCTTTTCTTGTTCAGCCTGGTAATGTTTAGAAAACATGGCAAGTCACTTTCTGTGCTCTCAGTCATGGGCCATGCAACTGTCCAGTGATGTATCCTGGCAAGACTAAAAATGACCAAGGGTAATTTTTTTTTTTTTGGTAACCTTGGAATGTTACAGCTGGGATTTCCTAAGGAGCTTAAGGGAGTTACGTGCCCAATTCCCAGTGATATTTTGGCATCTAACTCCCTTAGGTTCTTTTGAGAATTCCAGACTGCATGTTCAGAGGTTGTAAGGTGCTAAAACCCATCAACTTCCATTGACGTTATCTGAGGGAGCTCAAACAGCTCTCCACTTCCACTGACGTTAGTGGACTTGATGCCTTGCAGGAGTTGCTTTCACCAGCTTCCGAGTCAAGGTTTTTTTAAAAAAAAGCTTGACAATAAACTATTCCTCCCATGCCAGTGACAGCTTGGGCACAAATACAGAGTGAATGGAGCTGTGCTGATTTACACCAGCTGAGGATCTGGCCCAGAAAAGGTGTGTACCACCTAATTTGTCCAGGAGGAAATAATCATTTTCTGGAAGCTTCCTAATGATTCTCTTATCCCCTGGAGGTGCTCTCTCCATATCAGAAGTAAGACACATTGATTGATGGGGCAGTGCTTGGAAGCACTGTGCGGTACCCTGTTTTGAGGCTACAAAGATCTTCACTCTCCACAGCTGTTAAGCCAGTACTTAATAACTGAGCGCTAAAATCTACTTTTAAAAAAGGAAAATCCCAGCACAAATGCGCAATAATAGCAAAAAGAAAACATAACATTCAATTGGCTAAGTACATTTCTCTCTGTAGCAATGCGCCTGATTTTTCATCTTCACTCCTGCTGCAATATTTGAAGATCAATTACATGGAGATTTAAGGTATATTTTTCTTTTGTGTCATGTTGTAAGCAATTGCAGGATGGAGAAGAGCTACCTCCAGAAATCTGCCTCGGTGTGTTTTAATGTTCGAATTTAAAACGTGCCTCTCTCCAGTGGATGGATGAATGGTTGCATCTAGTCAAATAAAGGGAAAAACTGAGGCTGAAGGGCATGAAAGAAAGGATTACGGAAACCATGCTGCAGAACTATGCACCTTTTACTATACATACGATCACCTTGGATCAGGCAGAGAGGTGACTGGAAAGAAATTTACACATGAACTCCACTATCTACTCACCTATGTCCTAGGTGGCCATGCCATTAAAAGGCTTGTGTATTTGGAGAAAAATGGGCTTTTTGTAAGTTGGGAAAGAGAAGTTAACAGATCTGTCCATCAATCTTAGGTACCTATATAGCCCCCAGCTCTGTAGTATCTGAGCACCTCAGTCTTTAATGTATTTATCCTCAACACCACTGTGAGGTAGGAAAGTGCTATTATCTCCATTTTGCAGATAGGGAACTGACGCACAGAGAGATTAAGTGTCTTGCCCTTGGTCACACAGGAAGTTTGAGGCTGAGCAGGGTATTGAGTCTAGGTCTTTAGCTAACACCCTAACCACAGGAACCCCCCCACCCCCACTCCTGAACCACTGTACCTCTGTAGCATCTGAGCACCAAAACACAAACTGAATTTGTTGCCATTTGAAATTGTTTAGCAAGCTGTTTAGCAATTGCTTCCTTGTCATTTCCCGTCAGTATGGTACATTTCCAAAACATTCAGTGGTTAAGCATTACTTATCGATCTTGTGTAGTCATTTAAAGTGCATCTTTTGCTGTTGCTAAGAGATGAAGCAACAACAGGAACATGCTATTCACCAGGGCTTATGTTTTGTTGATGATAAACTCTTATGAAAAGTAGCCAGACTCCGCTTACCCTCTGTGTGTGGCCGCAATCTGGTGAGTATTTTACTGGCCTGTTTAACGTGACTGGAATGCACTTGTAATCTCTTCAACATTATTGCCTTGTTTTTTTGATGGCAATAGCATTTTAAATGCTGCTAATTAGTTTTACTGTAGACTGAAACCTGACCTTGTACTGGGTAAAGAAGAAGAGCAGATCTTTTAGTGCAAAAGGTGCCTTTTTGGGGTGCACTGGTACCTTGCGAGGACATGACTGTTATGCTTGTGGGTCCAAATATCAGGAGATTCCGTGCAAATGATTTGATGCCCTAATGAACAGGCATTTCCCCTTGTTTTGAATTAAATTCTCTCATCCAAAGATTTCCTCTTAGCCTCCCGTTTTTCTCTGGCTCCCCACATGCCGACTTCTCTCTTGAATTTTCCCCTTTCTTACCTCAGGCTGCATTGCTGTAATGTGTGGTACCTAACTGTGAAGGCCGCCTTAAAGCTTCAGCTAATACAGAGCATGGCTGCTCATCTTCTGAGTGGGTCAGTAGGTTCTGAGCAGGTCACTGTTGTGCTTCTCGCTCTGCCGTGGATGCTGCTACATGTTTGCGTGATTTCCGAGTAGCAGCCGTGTTAGTCTATATCCGCAAAAAGACTATGCTCAAATAAATTTGTTAGTCTCTAAGGTGCCACAAGTACTCCTTATGTCTGAGTGAGATTGAAACAGAGACTAAAGGGATGTGGGCTCATGGGCCTGCCTCTCCCTCAGCCAAAGGTGGTGCAGATCCTGGACAAGGCCCCCAGTGTCGTATGCCCACTGGTGGGGGTGAGTTTGCAGTGTTAAAGTATCTGCTACCTTCTCTTCACCAGTGAGGTACACAGGACTAAAAGTAGTAGCCACTGACTGGGGAGGCTCACAGGGTTTTTTTTCTAAAACATCACACAGATTTAACCAGTGTCTGCAACGTGGCCAAATGGGTCCAGGCCATTCTTTGGATATCAAGCCATTCCCTTCCCCTCACTTGTATTTCAGTGGTGCTGAAATGTATTCAGGAGTCTACCATTGCTATTCCCAGACAAATGAAAAGTCCTGAAAAGGAGGAGAAAATTGCAACCAAATGTGATCATGTTGTAATTTTTAATATACATCTTGCTTCCATTTCTGGCTGAATTCCTTGATAGTTCTTGTAATGTAAGAAATATCAGCTGAATTTCTTTCTTGTTTCTTGTACTTTTAGATCTAAAAAACCTAAGAAGCCTGCACCTCCTGCAGCCAAGGAAGACAAGCCCAAGTTAACCATTTTTGATGAGGAAGTAGATCCTGAGGAAGGACTATTTGGCCCAGTAAAAGATTTTTCATCTTCCAGTTCCAAGAAGAACTTGTCAGCCAAAGAGAGTAAATATGTTCCATTTTCCATTATGTACAGTTAGGTTGTGGTCCCCAAAGCTTCTATAAGGCTCTTGTATTTAAAATGGAATGGTGCAGTGCATGAAACTTGGGTTTCGATGTAAGAATGTTGGGCCAGACCTTCAGCTGTAAATTAGCTAGAAGTGGAAATAAACATGGCTTGCAGTTGCAACAGGCATACACTGTTGGACTTTGGATTGTCAGTTGTTATGGATCTGTAGTTGTTGTCTAGCTTATGTTGATGGGTGAGTAGAGCCAGTAGCTCCTGCTAGTGCAGTGTATCAAGAATGTATTTCCTAGCGCTTTGTGAATTTTTACTTTGGCTATGGAAGACTTTTTATAAAAATAAATTTTCTATAGGATGTTTCCTTTCAGCCACACAGCTTGATTCCCCTGCTAACAGTCATGGTGGTGATGTAGTTGAAGCTTGACTAAAGCTTTCTGATGATTCAATCTTTAGACCTGAAATTATTTGAAGACCCAGACCTCGGTTGGACTGTTAAACTAGGCGATTCACTGCTGCTGCCAACGGCCTGTGAGAACAAGGACTATGTGCTGAGCACCAGCCTCAAAGAGGACACAGAGGAGCTATTGAGGTATTCATCTAAAACGGTTCCTGTAGTAATGATATCCACTAGGCATTCTTGAGCAGGAAGCAATTTAGATCCCAATGCCACAAACTCCAGGGCAAAGCTTAAAAAACATTCTGTGCTGAAAGTGGATTGACATTCATACTAACCAAGACAAGGGCAGACATTTGTTTAAAAGCTTGAAAATCAAACACACATCATCTTTATTAAAGCTTAAGAATAATGGGCACTGACAAACAGTAGCACCTTTACTTTCTCAAGGTGCTTTACAAATAATCCCCAGGAGGGTAGATGGGTAGGTTAGCTCTCCATTTTCCAAATGTGGAAATGAAGGCAGAGGAGTGGCTTGTCCAAGGGTAAAGATGAACTTTGTTTCAGAACTGAGATTAGAATTTAGGTGCTCATGGCTCAGACACTGTGCTCAAGCCACTAGACTGGGCTTCCTCGTTATTTAAACAGTGTCTCTTATAACGTTCATTTATATTTTAATCAGAACTATGCAAGATCTGGATTATCAGGAGGCTCTGAGGTAGAAGGAAGCATTCATGAACATGCCCTCCTTTTATCTAAGGTACTTAATATGGCCCCAGTTACCAGAATATCTGAGTGCCTCTCAATGTATTTATCCTCACAGTACTCCTGTTGAGGTAGTTTTGCTGCTCCGATCATTCCCTCATTATAAATCGGGAATTAAGGCTCAGAAAAAATAAGGTCCCATGGGAAGTGTGTGGCAGTACAAGGAGTCGAATGTGGGTCTCCTGAGTCCCACTCTGGCCCCCTAGCTGCGGAACCACCTTTTCGCTCATGTTATTAGTTACTAACCAGCTTTTTAGTATCCTACTTTAGTAACCAGTCCTGAGTAGAGATGAAAAAATTCTGATGTGTGTTCTTAATCCCTTGGAGCTGGTAGTTTTGCAGCCTCCATTGTTTATACAAAATGCCTTAGTACTAACATATCACAGCAGAAATACCTGGCTTAATTTATGCAGCAGTTAAGTTAGGTTATATGCCATCTCCTCTTACACTTTGGGGGCACATCTGATATTTACAAGACATGATGTGGCAAGACATAACTCGATTTACTGAGGTGGCACGTTGGGAGTGAACACACACATTCTCAGCTTTTCATGTCTGCTTTATTCTGTGCTGCTAATCTAGGCATAAAACGCTTGACCCAAATTGGTGATATGACTAGAACAAAAGTGCCTTATTTAGTGCAATTCCTCCATTAGCCATGAAAGCAGTGGAAAGAGCCTGACCATTTGTCATATTATTGCATTTCAAATTACGCAGTCTTCCCTGCTCAGTCACAGTGAAAGAGGACCCTGAAGCCCGCTCTTCGGCTGGCAGATTATGCCCTTATATAGATTTGGTGTTGAAGAAGATAGTGACAGTTGATCAATTGCCAGAGCTGGTGATAATGACAGAAGAGGGAGAAGATACTAATTCTTTAAGTTATGACTGTTTTTTCCCCCTGAATTGTCACGGTGCCAGCATCAATGCCTTCAGCAGCTGGCAGTGCCAACATTCAGTTGTAAATGAGTAGGTGTAGCCCAGCAGAAAATCAAGTGTGTGACCCAACTGGAAAATGGCATGGGAATCGCTCTTGATCTAGAGACAAATCTTATTCCTGGTAGGGATGTAGAAAGATAGTGCCCTATGGATATAGCGCAGAGCAGGTAAACTGAACGGAGAGAAATAGCAGGAATAAGGAAGAGCTATTGGAGGAAGAGAAATAATGAAGGATGGAAATTAGCAGAGAACCTGAAAAACATAGAAATGTTGGAGTCTGATTATGGACCTGATGGGAAGCAAAATAGAACAGGGACGATGTGAGGTGACAAATGAGATCCTGCTGTCTTAACCTAGTGGAGTTCTTCTTTTCGCCCCAAAGAGAATTTATCTGTGAAGCCAGAAACCTTTGCAGCTTAACTTTCACAAGTAGTCGCTGATTCTGGGTACCTCAATTTTTGATGCCGAACTAGTGACACTTGTGGCCTGATTCCGGAAGCACAGATTATCTTCAGCTCCCATTGCATTCCACTGCACCTCATGGCACTTCTGAAAATCCAGCCCCAAGTTGTCTCAAGTTCGGTGCCCAAAACTGCAGCAGGATTTATTTTTTGACAAAGTTTGTGTTAGAGTTCAAGGAACTGATATCTGTGTAAGGATCTAATGAAGGGTGAAATACTGAATTATTTAAACAGAGTCCAGAGACCACTCAGTGCACAAGTGGCCTTGAACTTACTCCCCATCCCACCCCATTAGTTCCAGAATTCCAATCAGCCCCTCCAGATACATCAATAAGCATTGCATCCCAGCTACTGCAAACCTTGCTGGAGCTGGCATATTGGGGTAGGGACAGAGGAGGTCAGACAGGATCTTAATATATATTTCTCCAAATCCATGTGGGATATAAAATATTTTTTAAAAGGACTTTCCTGAGTCTTCTACCAAATCTTTGTTCCCCAGTGGGAATAGGGGAGTCTCTGTGACATCACAACCCGGAGCATCACTTTGGAAAAAGAAACTCCACGGGGTGGGATATGAAATAGTGGGAAGTACAGTGGAGAAGGAAAGGGGAGGAGAGGTTAAAAACCACATGAGGTGAACAGCTCTTTTGCCCTTGTTGTTTAGTGCATGCAGCACACAACATACACTTAATATTGATCTGCAGGTCACCTTTGAAAAAGGCATAGTTGTCTCATCATATTATATATACGTGAAGCTCTTTTGAAAACCCATTTTAGAGAGCGCAAACGCAAGGCCTAAAACCATCTACGAGTGCCCCTTGAAATGAAAAATGGAGCAAAGGAAGCCTGAAATCAAGTCAGTACCATAACCTAAGTGAGGTCCTGAAGTCAAGATCCTTGCAAATAGCTTGCCTTAGACCAGACAGATACATTTAGTGTAGGATAGTATGATTAAAGGATATACTGTACTAAGCACAAGCATCAGTGAAGAATGACTGTATTCTAAAACTGTGAATACAAACAAAATGTCCTGATTTCCCCCCTCTTGTAGTAACCACTAACAGACTATGTGGAGGATGGCTCACACATGTATGCCCAGTGGTGGTGTACTCAAGACCATGCCAGTACATGCCCACTTGTCTGAGATTAGATTTTAGCCCTAAATTGACTTGTTGTGAAGCTTGGGGTCTGTTCTCTTGTGAACACCAAGGGATTTATCCACATAACTTTTCCATAAATCAAGAGAACAGCAGATCCCTTGTTTTGTACTTTATTACATTAAGCAAGTAAACCCAATGCCCTCGGTATACGTACGTAACTAAATGGACTCCATTGGGAAACCCCCTTTGAGGTTCCTACTCCCTGCAGATGCTTTCCCACAAAGATTGTGTGTCATAGTCAGATTATTGTTAATATGGAAAATGATTATGATTTAAAAAGATTAATAACTCCCGTCCCACTGGGGGCTTTGGTCACAGAGAGCAGCTGCTGCTTTCTCCTCCTGTGTAGCAGTAGCTCCTAGTAAAAGTAGGTAGATTGGCACCTCCTCCTCCTTTCCACCCACTTTCGCAGGCCCCTACATCTCCCATACATTGAAGAACCCAGAGGTCTGTAGAAGGAGCTGGAAAGGAGGGGGAGGAGACTGCACCATGTGGCCTCCTATACTACCATGGGTCACAGTTTGGGGGCTGCACTTGTGTATGTTTTTCTCTCTCCCTTTGGGTCATGTAAGTTGAAAGCTGAATCTAGCCACCACTGGCAGTTGGAGAGTGTCACCTGCAAGTTTGGTTTGCATATAAGCAAGTGGCTGTAGATGGTTCAGATGCTGATTAGACATTCTCTGCAAGTGTAGAGATTTGTGGGATCTGCTGCTAGTGGTTTTTTCTTTTTGTTTCTCTTGAAAATTTTGTCAGGATATTTAATGTGGGAGAGGGGCGTCCATTTGACCATTCTGAATCCACCTAAACTCTATTCGTTGTTTTTCCTGTATCTCTTTGATGGTGTTTGGTTGACTGACTGTAAATGGTCCTCTCAGTGTACCAACAGGAGAGAGCCTCTCAACTGCCAGTTTTCACTGCAGCAGAACATGGCCAGGGTCTCTTAGGGTATGTCTGCACGGTTATAAAAAACCCACAGTACCGAGTCTCAGAGCTTGGGTCAGCTGACTCGGACTTGCAGGCCTCGGGCTGCAGGGCTATAAAATTGTAGTGTAGACATTTGGGCTCAGGCTGTGCTGTGGGTCTTTTATTGCAGTGTCGACATACCTTAAGGTCTGTCATCTCTTTTGAATATGAGCGCTTGAATGACTGCACTACGTGTGCTTTTTGTCCCTTGTACATAGTCCATTAATAGTGAAGTCATCCCAGGCACTGGACGAGGGAAAGACACAGGGTAGGATTTTCAAAGCGCTCACCGTTGGCCTATCTTTGTTCTAAATGAAGTCATTAGTAACATCCCTGTTGACTTTAGTGGGAGCAGAGTCAGGCCAGTGTTTGAAGGGCTCCCCCAAGATATTTAAATTACTGCTGTAAGTTAACTTCCCACCCACCTAATGCTGTGTCCCAGGCAGCTCAGCAATTCGCTGGCACTGGTCAAAAAATGCCTTTTTTTGTTGAAAAGTCTTCAACTAGCTGTACAGTGTGTCTCCATGCCTCATGCAGGGGCTGGTGATATGTGTCAATATCTCGTCCTCGCTCCTGAGCAGGGCTAGTGGTTTGCCACAGAAATGTTTGCAAAAAAATCATGACTGATTTTCGGCAAATGTTGATAAAATCATGGACTTGATTGTTCCATGGGTCCCTCCCCCATAGTGACCTGTGATGTTCCTGTCTCCCATGCTCTCCGTCCCTCACTTATTCTTGTTATTTGTTTAACAGGGGCAATGCCTCTGTGGTTTCAGGACACAAAAATAAAGTCAGCCTCAGCCCTGACATACTTACAGTCCTGCTCCCCTCTGAAAGTGGAGCAGAGACCTCTTTCTAGCCACCTGGGGTTGAGGTAGGAGCAACACCCGATCCGTCAGTGGGCCAGAGA